CAAAAATATAATTAAAATTCTATTTTTGAAAACTTAAGATATGCAATTATTATGTCATATACATTATTTTATTTATTCAATAGATAAAATAGTTAAATCCTTTTACAGTATTTCAGATACTAAAAGAGCAATAATAAAACTTAATTAAATGTTCTGACAATTATTTAACTTCATTTAGATCCATTTCATATTCATCCTGGGAGAATTGCTAAAACTTGTCAAGTTTTGAAATCTTATTTTGTGATAAAATCAAGGATAACGGAAGTATCTGCCCAAAAATCGGGTTGGGTTCTTGAAATAGTTAATGTATAGTTATTGTTGAAGTATGCACAAAAATAGTGAAAAAATTAAACAAAAAGGCCATTATCTACATTTGTAAGAGTCTCTCAATCAAAACTATTTTAATTTAGTGAAGTATCTCTCATAACCATATTTAGTCTCTGCTCACATTTATACATTTAACTGTCATTGATTTATATATTTTATTATTGCTGCTACTTAAATACATATAAAATATATTGAATCGTATTGAAATAAACAAAAATTATGGTTAAACTCTTTACGAGGATTAGAAAAGTGATCCAACTTTATTCATTACAAAGTTTACTTGTAGATAAAATTATACCAATATAATTTTTAATACACCGGATAATTGAAGTATAAGTAAAGCGATATTAATCTTTTATAATTATATCAATATTTATTTTAGTTGATTTTTCGTAAATGTAACCAAGTACTATTTATTTTATTCATAATTAGCATTTGATAATTAAATTCATAAGCTTTACAGATTATTTCTAAGTGTTAAAATTGAAATATAAATAGATACAAACATTTTTTAATTTTTTAAAAAAGAATATCTAATTAATTATTTTTATATGTATTTTATTTATAATCACATCATAATTCAATCCTGTCATAAAAACATCAACTCAGTTGTATTATTTAACTTTTTATAAAAACAAAATTTATGAAAATAAAAATGATACAAGATATTTATAAACAATTGATACATTATATTATAATGAACAGATCTTAATATCTTATTAATTAAACAAAAAAACTCTGTTATAGCCAGAAATAATTTAATTTGGATTTTAATTTAAAAACCTTAACGAGAAAATATTAATTGATTTTAAAATGTTTACA